GCCGTCCCCGCGTCCCCGCCGCGTGCCCGCGCAGCCGCTTCGGGCTTCGGGCGTGGCGCATCCAGGTACGCCGGGCTGGGATGGGGTCTGCGTCGGGATCCCTGGCCTGCGCGGGTGAGGGGCTGAGCTCGGCCGGCCTGGAGGCCCCGGGAAATGTGGGCCCTTGGGGAGCCCCCGCCCCCTTGACCGAACCTGGGCCCGCGGCGCAGTCGTGGAGAGGCGTGGAGGGTCCGGAGGCGCCGGGGCCTGGGGAAGGGATGCAGGGGCCAAGGACATGGGGCCTGGGGAAGGGACGCGGGGGCTGGGGGCGCGGGGCCGGAAGAGGGGGCTGGGGGCGCAGAGGCCGGGGGCAGGGGACGCAAGGACTAGGGGCGCGGGCCCTGGGGAGGGGGCGCAGGGACCGCGGGCACGGGGCCTGGGGAGGGGGCGCGGCCTTGGGGCCTTCCTGGCAGCTGAGAACCCGGGTCTGGGTCCCAGCGGTGGGGCGGCTGCGTGGCTCCCAGTTCCTGAGCCCGCATTGTGACTTAGCCCGGAGCACTGAGCTGAGCTGAGAATGCCGGGCTGAGAATGTGCGGCCCTGCCATTGTTCTCCATGTAACATCCTTCCAGAAGGCCCCTCAGCTGGGATTCAACTGTTTGCCTTGTTTTCTTTCTGTTCCTGCCAAGCAGGCTACCCCAACCCTGTAACAGCACTCTCCATATACCTGGTTCACACAATTGTCCCTAAAAAGGGAGGAGGGATGGTGGCAAGTGAGACCACGTAAGTGCTGGGCTGGCCACTCAGGCCCTGGGGGCCCCCACTCTCCACCTTCAGATTTCTCAGGGAGGAGGGTTTGCTCAGCCATGTACAAGTCTGTTTGATCCTCCTCCATGCCCGCAAAGATCTGTAAGGTAAGGCTTTGCGGCTGTCATGTTAACGGCTCATCCAGCCCCTCAGAAGGAAAGGCCTGTGACCATGGACCCTGAGACCTTGTCCCATCAGTCACAGGATGGGACTACAATGACACATTTTGGGGGCCTGTGGGGTGCCGCCCCAGGCTTTCTTCCCCAGCAACCCGTGATGTGCATTTCCCCCACCAGGCAGCCAGAAGCGGGGTCATCATGGCATCCCCGTCGTCCTACCAGGCGGAGGAGGACGAGAGTCTGAAGGGGTGTGAGCTCTACGTTCAGAAGCATGGCGTTCAGCAGGTCCTCAAGGACTGCATTGTGCACCTGTGCATCTCCAAGCCCGACAGGCCCATGAAGTTCCTGCGGGAGCACTTCGAGAAGCTGGAGAAGGTCAGTGACGACCACCCCCTGCTTTCCCCTGGGGCACACCTGTTCCCCGGGTCATGCTGGCTCTTGCAGGGAGTGTGGGGAGAACAGTCCTCCGCCGGGCCTGACCGTGCCTCACCCGTTCCAGGACTCCTGGTCCCGGCCACAGAGCCCCACTGGTGCGGGCTCTACCACTTGCAGAGCTTGGGGAAGAGCTGACTGTGAAGATAGCTTCTGGGGCCCGCTGACAGTTTTCAACTCAGGGGACAGAGATGGGGACCGGGTGTAGTTACAGGTGCCACTGGCGTTTGGGATGGAAGAACATAGCTGTGATAGGCATGTGATGTAGGGCATTTGAGACCAGATTCCACGGTGGTAATCTGCGCCTCTGGGAGGAGGTGGGCATAGGCAGAGGAGAACGCCCCTCAGACTCGTGCAGTGTGGGGAAACACATGTCCATCCACACCTCTCTTCTGAGGGGACCCCCCACAACTCATTCCTCTGTGAATGATGCCCCTCACCCCTTCCTGGTTCATCGGTGGGAGGACAGGCTCAGAGCAGGAGGGGTCCCTGAGCCCCTTGGCAACCTGTCCCTCCATGGTGGGCTCCTTCCTTCCTCCCTCTGGCTCCTGACCCTGAACACTCCCTGGGCGGCACCTTAGGCTCCTCTTCTGGGCCCCTTGCTCACAACTTCACTGTTCCTGTCCTGGTCTCAGGGGTGAATGGAACCCCAGGTCAGGCTCAGATCTGAGTCCCTCTGAGTCCCCGCCCATCAGTGTTTCACTTTCAGTGGGGGCCTCCTGTGGACACAGAGCTCCAACCCAAAGGGGTGAATTTCTTTCCTTTAAAACAATCTATTAAAAAAACATTTTCAAGTATGAGTGCATGGCTTTTAAAGAAAGTTTGGGAAGTTCAGAGATAGAAGGGGTCACAGTCATATGTGGTCTCCTCCGTGCACTTTTCATTTGCTCCGCATTCTTCACAGACCTCACTCAGGTGGGTGCGCGGTGCTGGGTTGAGTAGACATGCTGATATTTCCTCAACGTTTCCCTTGCGATTGGATAGTTGAGTTGTTTCCAGCTTTGTTTAATGTTAAAAATAATGCCACGCTAACACATTCACATGTAGACTTTTTTCCTGTGTGTGGCATTGTCTTCAGACACGGGATTACTGAAACTCCGAATGGCAATACCGGGTGAAAGTGATCTCGTTTGCGTCCTTGTACATTCCCACCGCGGGGTTTGGTTGTTGGTTTGCCCACACTAGCCAGCTTTGGCTGTTTTAATTTGGAAAGCTGTTTTTTTTCAGAGGATGGATGAAGATGGTCATGTAGCCTTCATCTGTTTTCCTTTGGTTACGTTTGAGGCCACGGTTGAGGAGAGGCGTTCTGTAGGGGACTTGTGGGATGGGCTGTTTCCTGCGTGTTGGGAGAATCAGGCAGGGGACAGTCCATCCTCTCCCGTCTCAAACCCTCACTCTGTCAGGGCCCCAGTTACTTCCCGTGGTTTGCTCACAAGTGATGCCATCCAGGTGACGTGTCTCGGGGGTGGTCCTGATGGGGGTGGCTGGAGCCGGGGAACCCACTCGACAGCTGAGGCAGCAGAGTGAGACCCAAGTAGAGGTACTCAACCAGGGACATTTTGCCCCCAGGGGACCTGTGGCAATGGCTGCAGACAGTTAGTCGAGCATCTAGGGTTAATGGAGCGGAGCAACATGGCCAGCTCGGACCATTCATTTTGGTGGGGTGTTCAGGGCTTGCTGGTGGAGTGAGGAAAGAGGCAGCAAGCGTAACTGCTGGGGCTTGGTCTGGACCCCTGAGTGAATGGGGAGAGTAGGAGCAGATGGGCGGGGAGGGGGCCCTGCAGGCTGCGAGTCCACACAAGCGTCTGGTGGTTTGCCGTCAGCCTTTGGTGTTCCCTGGCTCGTAGGACCTTGGTCCTGACCTCTGCCTTCATCCTCACGTGGCCTCCTTCCTTAACAGGAGGCTGCGTCACATTGCGTTAGGACCACCCCAGTGACCTCATTATAACTTGATTACGTTGGCAAAGACTGTCACCAATAAGCTCAGAGTCTGAGGTCCTGAGGTTGGGAACCCAACACGTGAACTTTCAGGGGACACAACTCAACCGCAAACAGCCACTTTCTCAGGGGCGGGTAGGGCGGCTTTAGTTAGGCCTACCCACGACGGCAATCCAGTGGTGAGTAGGAAAGCAGGTTATAAGACTTGGCTGTGGGGGCGCGCCTGGGTGGCTCAGTCGGTAAAGCGTCTGCCTTTGGCTCAGGTCATGATCCCAGGGTCCTGGAATCGAGTCCCACGTCGGGCTCCCTGCTCCGCGGGAAGTCTGCTTCTCCCTCTGCCTGCTGCTCCCCACTCGTGCTCTCTCCTCTCTCTCTCTCTCAAATAAATACATAAAATCTTAAAAAAAAAAAAAAAAAAAAGCCTTGGCCGTAGGGTATAGTTCCATTCTTGTGAGAGGCCTCGCCAGCCGCGGAGTATCTGTCCGCGCAGGAGTGCTCTGAAGTGGATGGCGGGCGCTGAGAGAAGCATGCGCCCAGCGGCAAGACTACGGATTATCCCTGTAACAGACAGATCTGAGCCCCCCAGAATATAAAGCCCCTGAAAGCCACGGGCATCCGGGCCACGCTGGCTTGCCCCGCGAGCTGCCGTGGAGTGTTTGTAATAGGGGAGCAGGAGGGCTCTTTGGCTCGGGGTGTGGCGGAGCCCTAGGTCTTGGGCCCCAGGAGCCTGTGGTCCAGGGGAGGGCAGAGTCCCAGGCAGCACCCCTGCCCCCCCATGAGGCTGGCCTGAGTGGACAGGAAGCCTGGGGAGGGAGACTTCTCATCATGTGTGACAAGCAGGAAGCATGTGTGTGGGGCCCCCGATAAAGCCCCGGGAGGGTGTCGCTGGGCCGGCACAGACCAGCGGGGATGGCCCAGCTCTCGGGGTGCTGTCCGGGCAGGCCAAGCCCAGCCGCCAGCCCTCAGGCCTCGGTGAGTGCAGTTTAAGAAGGTCGTTGTTCTCAGGTCCAGTCGTGAGGGGGTAGAATAGTCCTTATCCACTGGCCAAGCACAGCCCGAAGCTTCTCCATGGTGGGATCTTGCAGAAGCTCGTGGAGCGGTAGAATCATTGGTCCTTGTAGGGATGCTTTAGAGGCTGTAAGGAAAGCGCCCGGCCTCCTCCATCCACGTACCCACCAGCGTTTCTCTGGGACCCTCTTCAGCACGCACACGCGTGGGGATGTGGGTGGGGTGGCACATGTGCATTTTTAGTTTGACTTTTCTTCCTAGTATCTTTTGTGTAAAATCTGTACAGCATAAAATTTACCATTTTGGCCATTTTAAAGTGTCTGTTTTGGTGACATCCAGCGCACCCTATTCTGTGTTCTCCTCAGTAGCATTTTTATGGTGTCTGTGGCCATGAAACCATGTGATGTGGCAGTTTTTACTTTATTTGTATTGTTTTGTATTTGATGGTTTTCAGTTTTTTTGTTTTCTTCAGAAAAGACCTTTATGCCCAGGAAATGATTTGAAGAAGACAGAGCGTGCACGCAGTCGGGGTGCGCGCGCTGGGGTCAGAGTGTGGCTTGTTTTCATAGCTCTAGAACCACTTTACTCCCAAGGATGGAATGAGTTTATGGTTCCCCTGACACGCGTGAACAGTGCTGTTTTCCCAACTCCGCGTCAACGTCAGCTTCTCTACAGTTGTTCTTGTGCTAATTGGCGGATATGGACACCTCCCTGCCGAGCTGGGTGCTCCTTCCCTCCTGGTGGCCTGGCGCCTTCCCTGGACACTGGCTCCGTGGGGTCACACGAGGGTCTGGGCTAAGGCTTTGGTCTTTAGTAAAGATGGAAGTTACGTTGTGTGTCAATATTGGAACGAGCAGACACATCTGGGAAGAGAGAACCGGGACCACTCCTCCCGTTAAAGTTCTTCTTTGAATTTCAATACCCTGAACGTGTGCTCTGTGGTGTGCAACTGCGTGGGTTCTGACGGAGGTGTCCAGTTGTCTACCTGCCACCGTCCCCGAGATCCAGATCTGTTGAGGTGCCATCCCCTCCCTCCTGCCCTTGCTGGCCAGACCGTCCTGCCCCCCTATCCCCTGGCAACCGCTGAAGTGTCTGCAGCTCAGCATCTTCCAGAATGTGCCACCAGTGGAGGCCTCCAGCAGGTAGCCTTTGAGTCCGGCTTCTGTCTCTTCCGAGGGCACCCGAAATTCGTGCTGGTTTTGTGCGTGTCACGAGCCTTGTTTTGCTGAGTCCATGGATCACAGTCTGCTCATCCTTTGGCCAGTTGAGGGACATCTGGATCACTTCCAGTTTTTGGCAATGACAAAGCCGCTGTAGGCATGTATTTGTCTTACAGATTTCTGTGTGAATGTAGATTTTTATTTAACTTGAGAAAGTATCTGGGTCGTATGGTAAGCACATGTTTGACTTGGTAACAAAGTGCCCAGCTACACCGTCTTGCATTCCAACCAGCTGTGGTTCTTGGCCCTAAGATTGCCAGCACTCGATACTGTTAGCTTTCGAAAATTTGAGCCATTCTGATGGGTACTTGCTGGCCCTTCCGCTGGGTTTCTTCCTCGTTTCCATATGACTGATGACACGGAGCATCTTTTCATGCACTTACTTGCCATTGGCACGTCTCCTTGATGAGGTGCCTGCTGAGGTCTTTTGTCCGTGTTTCTTTTTTTTTTTTTTTTAAAGATTTTATTTATTTATTTATTTGAGAGAGAGAGAGAGAAACAGCATGAGAGGGGATAGGGTCAGAGGGAGAAGCAGGCCTCCCGCCGAGCCGGGAGCCCGATGTGGGACTCGATCCCAGGACCCTGGGATCATGACCTGAGCCGAAGGCAGTCGCTTAACCAACTGAGCCACCCAGGCGCCCCTTGTCTGTGTTTCTTACTAGGCTCTTCTTTACCGTTGGGCTCGGAAGTGCTTTATGTATTCAACTCGTACCCTCACGTACGCAGATGTGAGTCCTGGGTAGTCCTTGCTTTTCAAACACCTTCTTCCAGTCCATC